GAACAGGCATTCTCAGTTGCTGGAAATACAATTAGTAAAACTCGAAATCGTTTGTTGCCAGAAACTGCAAGAGCATGTTTATGTATGAAAAGCTGGATTATTAATAAAATAGGAGATTATTAAAATACAAATTTTTTATACTTATATAGGATAGATATATAATATTATTCTTATCATTTATATTTAAATTTTAATAAACTATTTGTGTCACATGTTGATCATGTGTAACCGGTTTGAACGGTTTGAATGGTTCCAAAAACCAAACCAAAAAAAAACCAGGGGTTGGTTTCAAACCGAGTTCAAACCGTTTATTAGCGAAACCGACCCATCCCTATACATAGAGGTTCATACATTACATGTTTTCTGTATTAACGTTGTAAAATATTAATATTAATATATTTTTGTGTTACATATTTGTGGCTGAAAAAAAAAAGTTCTTTAAAAAAAATTTTTTTGACAAATTATACAAAAACCATGATGGAAAACATTTTGAATGAAAATAAACATCATGACAATACTTCTACCGACAAAAATGATGAATATTCTGATAAAAGAAAAGAAAGAAATGGGGAATGTCCAGCATGAAATAGATATAATACTCATTGGGAATGGTGTCAATCATGTGATCCAAAGTTGTTAACTGAAGGATGGACTAGTGGTAATGAAACATTAGATGAATTAATTAAAAGCACACAACTTAAAGCAACAGGATATGATAATGATAATTATCTTCAATGGATTCCTTATGATGATTTAACAAATATTGAAAAGATAGGTGAAGGTGGGTTTGCAATTATATCCAAAGCTACTTGGTTAAATGGTTATAAATATACGGATAGTAGAGATGAAAGAACTAGCAAAGATAGGACTGTGGCATTAAAAAAACTACATAATTCACAGAATATTTCTGATGAATTTCTTAATGAGGTAAATTATTTTATTTTTCTATTTATTTTCAGATTTTAAATATTATTCTGAAATTCAATATATTTTTTTTATAGTTTAGAAATTATGTTACATTTTATTATAACTCATTTATAAATCATATTTATGGATTAACACAAGATCCAGCTACAAAAGAATATATCTTTGTGATGAAATACATGGAAAATAGAAGTCTTCAAGATTATGAAGATTCATATATTAGAAAAGAAGAATATGGGGAATGTCCAACATGCAATAAATATAATACTAGTTATTCATGGTGTCAATCATGTGATCCAAAGCTATTAACTAAAGGATGGACTAGTGGCAATGAAACATTAGATGAGTTGATTAAAAGTACACAACTTAAAGCAACTGAGTACCATTATAGTAATCATCTTCAATGGATTCCTTATAATGATTTAACAAATATTGAAAAGATAGGTGAAGGTGTGTTTGCAACTGTATCTAAAGCTACTTAGTTAAATGGTTATAAAATTATAGATGATTATAATAATGAAAGAATTAGCAAAGATATGCCTGTGGCATTAAAGAAATTACATAATTCACAGAATATATCTGATGAATTTCTTAATGAGGTAAATCATTTTATTTTTATATTCAGTTTTTTTAAATATTATTGATTAATTATTATTGTAATTAAATATTTTATCTGTTATTTTAGTTGAAAAATTATGAGAAGTTTCATAATAAAATTTATATTTATGGATTAACACAAGATCCAATTACAAAAAAATATATCTGTAATGCATTACATTGAAGATGGAAGTTTTCAAAATGATGAATATTCAAAGAAAGAAAAGAAAATATGGGGAATGTCCAACCTGCAATAGATATAATACTCATTATTTATGGTGTCAATCATGTGATCCAAAGCTATTAACCAAAGGATGGACTAGTGGCAATGAAACATTAGATGAGTTGATTAAAAGCACACAACTTAAAGCAACATATTATCATTATAGTAATCATATTCAATGGATTCCTTATAATAATTTAACAAATATTGAAAAGATAGGTGAAGGTGGGTTTGCAGCTATATCCAAAGCTACTCAGTTAAATGGTTGTAAATATATTGATGGAAATAAAAGAATTAGTGGAGATAAGACTGTGGCATTAAAGAAACTACTTAATTCACAGAATATTTCCAATGAATTTCTTAATGAGGTATTTTATTTTATTTTTTTATTTATTTTTCAGATTTTTTAAATATTATTGATTACTATTGTTGTAATTAAATATTTTATTTGTTGTTTTAGTTTAAAAATTATACAAAGTTTCATGATAAATTATTTATAATTCATATTTATGGATTAACACAAGATCCGATTACAAAAGAATATATATTTGTAATGGAATATATGGAAAATGGAAGTCTTCAAAATTATTTAACTAAAGATTTTAAAAATTTAAAATGGAATGACAAAATTAAAATTCTTTATTATATTATTAATGGTCTAAAAGATATTCATGAAAAAGAACTATTCATCATGATTTTCATAGTGGTAATATTCTTCAAAAAGACAAATGGATTCCATGTATTGCAGATTTGGGATTATCATGCCCAGCTAGTCAAGCATCATCAAACAAAAATAATATATGTGGAGTACTACCATATATTGCACCAGAAGTTTTAAGAGAGAAACCATATACAATGGCAGCAGACATGTATAGTTTTGGAGTTCCGATGTCTGTAGTATCAACTGGTCAACAGCCTTTTAATAATTTGGCACATGATGAATATCTTGCAATGAATATATGTAAAGGTGCAAGACCTGAATTCTCAAACAATACACCAAAATTCTATATTGAACTAGCATCCAAATGCATGGATGCTAATCCAGATAAACGTCCAACTGCTAATGAAATTTATAAGACTATTGAAATTTGGTATGCTTCATTTGATGATGATATAATAGATAATTTTGAACATTATGGATATTTAAGAGTACAGCAGGATGAATTAAAATTAATTAGAAAAGAGTTTGATGAAATGGATGAAATAAAATTTGGTCCTTCAACAATTACTACAGTAATTCATCCAAACACATTTTATACTAGCAGAATATTAAATTTTACAAACCTTCCCCAACCTGTGAATTCCAATAAAGTGACAATTCTTGGCAATAATAATGGTAATTATCATTGATTATTCAATTATTAATTTAAAATTTAGTATCAATATTAAACATTAACATTACCATCATATTTATAGTTTCTCATCTAACGGATATAAATATTTAAATTCATTTGATTATGTATTTAATAGTGATATTATATAAAGGTAATGACTTCTCAAAATTATCATATCTTTGGATTTTTTTTTTTTTGGATGTCAAATATGGACATTAAAATAATGAGTTTCTGTGATTCTAATATCATTATAAAATCAAATATAATGGCCTCCGTCCATTAGTTAAATTAGCAACTATTATTATACTAATAGCAAATTAGTCAATATCACAATAATACAATGTAATCTTGCCCAAGTTTTTTATTTTTGAGGATCAACTTTTGTTTCTTCAAAACTTTTCTAATTATTCAATAGACTCCATATAAAATAATTGGAATAACAAATCCAAAAGTACAAATTCAACAAGAGCCTAGTTTTTTCTGTCCAGGTTCGATTTCTTTGGTACGTAATTCTGCATTTCTTATCAAGTCTGTTTAGAGTTATTGTTGATAATTAAACCAGAGGCATGAATCTTTTTGACTAGTATAAGATCTGCCGGTTTTTTTGGTTCAGAAGCATTGTCACAAAAAGTTAGTCCAGTAGTCACGCCTCCTTGCACCATTCAGGATGGCCGACGGTTTCTCTTTTCAAGTTTATCTCTTAGCATTTCTTGATAGGTGTTTTGGGGATTAACCCAATCAATTGGAGCTTTAGTTGCTTTGTAAAAACACTACTTTGGCCTCTTTTTTGTAAATTCTCAGAAATACTGTTTCAATAATTATATATTTTTAACACTTATTCATAGTGAAGTCAACCAGTAGAAAACCTTGGCCGGCTAAGAACTTGGATAAATATTGAGACAGGCTACCTCTGGGATTTTTAATTTAGTAGTAGCAGAGTTTTGTCAAATCTTGAATTCCCTTTATTGAATTTTCACAATATATTGAGTTGATTTTTTCGCTCTTATTAAAATAAAAAACTTATTAATGCATAAATTCAAACCTTTTTATTGGATTGGTCCAAATTACAAATCGAAGGAAAAATATAATAATAATAATAATAATGCATCCTCAGAAAATTCCGAAGATGCTAGCCGAAAAAGAAAAAAGATATATCAATCACCGAAAAAATCAAAGATGGTAAATCATAACAGATCCTGATTTTTTAACTTTATTCGATGATAATGTAGCATCAGAAATTTGCTTTGTTTTAAAATAAAATCTTTCAGTAGATTAAGATTTAAAATTAAACAGTAAAATAATCCCACAACCTAATAATAGTAAACCTATCAATCGTGAATTTGAATTATTTATAATTTTTATAATTTTAGAACTGTACCACATAAATTATTTTTGGACATGTATATAAAGTGCAATGATTAGTATTTCTTCCCATGGCTTTTTAAAAATTTCAATATTTTTTCTATCTTCTTTTTCTTTTTCCGTAATTTCCAAAATACTTTAAAAATCAAGAGAATGTATTCAATTCCACAACATATCGATTTCATTAAGAATTTAACAATCGATTCAGTAATATCGGAAAAGCAAAATAAATCAAGATTAATTGAAATTCCAACCACTGCTACAGTCGAAGAAGCCTTTGATGTATTACTTGCAGAAAATATTCTGAGTGTGCCTGTTTATAAATATTTCAAAGGACGTAAACAACCAATTGCTATTATTAGCGTGCTTGATTTGGTTTCTTTTATTTGTTTGCAGGTAAAAGAAATAAAACAATTAACTTGTTATTCAAAATAATAACAAATAATAATGATGATTTCTTAAAAAATGAAATTATTTTTAGCCAATTTTTGAAAATAAAGAAGATAATAACGACAAAAATTTAAATTTTGAAAATCAATATTTTTTACAAAAACCAGTCAGCGAAATTGTTGGATTAACATCTGAAAGCACAAATTTAACTATGTGTCGTCCAGAAAACTCGTTAGTTGATCTTTTAGAATTATTGACACGTAAACGAATTCATAGAGTCTTGGTTTCAAAGCAATATTGTGATGGTGGTGATAATGAAGAGATATCATCATCACCTTACTTTGTATCTCAAACTGACGTGATTAGATTTTTATTTAATAATAATCATAAATTAGGTGAAATTTTAGATTTACCTGCATGTAAGGCTGCAAATCAAACAATTAAATTATTATTATCGTCATCAACTACAACGTCAAAAAATCAAAAGCAAGAATTATTGTTGAGTCGTCCTTCTTCGATTACAATTCATGATCGAGCTTTAACAGCTTTCAAAAAAATTTATCAAGATGGAGTTAGTGCAGTTGCAGTTGTTAATGATGATGGTAGTTTAGTTGCCGAAGTTTCAGCAGCTGATTTACGTGGGTTAAATCGAGATCGGTTAAATGATTTAAAGAAACCCGTAATAATGTTTCTTAAATCATCAAAAGGCGCGCTAATTAAACCATTAACTTGTCATCGAAAATTTACTTTGAGCCAGGTTATGGCGGGGATTACACTTAATAAAACTCACAGAGCTTGGTTTGTAGATGAAGATGATATACCAATTGGTGTAATAACTCTTAGTGATATTCTTAGTATGTTTTTACCAGGTGTATCAGATGTATTTGCTCACGAATCATAACTAATAGTAATTAGTCAATTAGGCTTTTTTTGTAATATATATATAATACATGTAAAATATAATATCTTAAGTAATAACAATTTTTATTTATTCATTCTATTTTATTATTAACAATTGCAATAAAAAATAAAAAAATAATGAAAATAAATGACAAATTTTTTACATATATATATATTTAAACAAGCTACAATCCAATGGATTTGCCTATTAATTATTCATCCTTAGTGTCAAGTTCAGCATTAATAATATCTTTAGCGATATCTTCAGCTTTTGACTTCAATTTATTAATATTTTTATCAATACCACCTTCATGTGACAAAAGAGTCGGTCTAAGTAATTTTGCGTAAAGAACTTGAGCTCCTTGGAAAGATGGGAGGAAAAGCCTATATATGTGTGAATCATGTAAAGGAATTTATATTTAGAAGAAGAATGAAGCAGAAAGATTGATAATAAATAAAATAATAATCATTTATCAGTCAATTAAATTATTTACCAAAGGCAAAAAAGCGTTTTGAAAAGGAAATAGAAAGGAACCCAGTAGAGAATGAGATCAGAAAAGAATTCAATGATATTAACAAATCCAAATACGGACCTAAGCAAATTCGATTGAATTAAGATTAAGATTAAAAATATTTAAATTTAAAAAATTTCCCTTATATATATACTCTTATTTACCAATAAGTTAACCATTGAGTATCATCAACTTTGACATCACTTTCAATAGCTTTGAAAGAAGCATAAGCTATTATTAAGAAAACATTAAATTATAAATTATTATATTGAATGGAGAAAAAATTATTGATTAAAAAAAAAAAAAAATTAGAAATTGATTAAATACCAGGATAAAGCCATCCGATAAGATTAGAGACTAGTGCTCCCCAGAAATTGAAAAATGTAGAAAGAAGTACAATTCCAACAACACCGGCTGCAAGATAAATTTTCGAAACACCAGTTTTTTGTTCCAATTTAATTATTTGTGGATATTTTGATAATTCTTTGTCGGTTTGGGCACTATAATATTTGAGTTTGGCTTTAAAAGTATCCATTTTTTTTTACGTTTAATTTTTTTAGAAAAATTGATGGAGGGGCGATAAAAAACGATTACTTTTATATTAAAAAAACAATATTAAAATATTAATCAATAAATCAAAGTTCAATCAATAAACAATGAATTAAACATTTGTGAAACCATCGCGCTTGCTGATTAAAATTACGAATAGATAGATAACTTCAATAAAACCCTAAAATAGAATATCACAACTTGTCTTTAATCCATTGGTTTTAAAAGTTTAAAATTCTCTCTTGTAGGGCAATTAATTCATTCACGCATATATTTAAAAAAAAGGAAAATTTATTTGTATATTTTTCACGAAATAAGAAATTTCTTTATTATTATTATGCGTTATTATGGCGCAATCATGATTTTCCTTATAACGGATAAAAATAGTATGACGATTAGAACTTCATCCCATATTAATAATATCAATATGTTTAGAAAAGGTCTAATTTTTACTATGTTGGATAGGGCCCGAATAAAGATGATTCAATTATATCCCACCCACTATCATATTAATTATATATTAATGTATTCCATCAAATCTGGTGCCGATCATCAACTTTTGGGGCTATCTTTAAAGGCTTCAAAATAATAAAAGTCATATGTGAAGCCAAAAAAAGCAAAGGTCGTTACAAAGTGAAACATCATGTCACAAGGAATTGACAATTTTAATTGACAATTCCTTTGTGATAGGGAAATCCGCAGTTCTATTATGATAAAACTAAAATTCAGTAAAGGAAAGGTTACAAAAAAAAAACAGTGATGCAACCACATGATATCATGTATTTTATTTTTTTTAGGAAAAACTTTACAATTTTTTTATAAAAGGATCGGGAGATTCACATCTATTAAAATTTTTGAAATATCATGTGATACACACACATCTTGGATTTTTAAAAAAAAACCCACAACCATTCAATTCAGCTTTAAAAGGAAGTCAATTCATATAAAAAAATGGTTTCAAAAAAATTTTTTCATGGATTTTTTTAAATTTGAGAGTTATGCAATAATAAATTTTCGTGTTACAATATGTTGACCAAATTTGGTAAGATCAATGTTCACTATGTGAGATACTTTTCCCCATATGTTTAAAAATATAATAATTTTTTAGAATAACAGTCAAGAAAAAATAAAAGGGTTCAAAAATATATTTTTTGGAAATGATACCAAAATCTGAACCATTTTATAACTTTTTTCTTGTTGGACATATTGCTGACAAAGATTTATATAATCATGCAATAATTTTAATCTACAAAAAAGAGGACTGATTGGGCAAAAACCCAATCCAGTCTCCTACCCAAAATCATAAATTAGTATCAGAGAAACAGAGAATTTAGGAAAGTGATTATACAAAACAAACACTATTTTACAAATTTCCTCTTAACATCAGTCCAAATGCAATTTCAGGGCCACCAACCCTGCTCTGAATTGTGACCTTCTGTGCTTGAACAAGCTGCAGATTCTCGTTGCTTTGATGGATCTGGATATTTATATGGCACTACAATTCATCAGCAGAGTTGCGACTTGGTCACAGAGCCATCCTTACCCTAGAGAAGGATCGTTGCAGGCAACTTTTCAACCAGCATGCCAGCGGCCATCTCTGGACTGGTGCTGTGATGCAGTTTTGGTAAACTCCAGAGCTTCGCGCCCCCCCTGAAAATTCAGTTGCATCGTTGTATCATCGGGAGCACCGTGGTCAGATTAGCCTTATGTACACGAGGAAGATGTGAGAATGACTGTAGTGTTCAAGGTAGCGTGCGTGCTTCAACATCTATAAAATTTCCAATAATCAAACATCGCATACCGAAATGTTTCTTTTTAAACGGTATGCTGCCTTGACATCTTCTTGTAATTATATATTTAATATTAACGTTATTATTAATGATTACGAAAAGCAAAATACCAATCATTTATTATCAATCTTGATAAGAATCTTATAATTACCCAGAAAGATCTGCTCCGTGTTTTGATTTCCAATTAAAATATTTATAAACTAAAATAAAAATATCAATACAAATAAAAAATAGTACCCCTATTATTAACACGTTTTCTTTAGAAGACCCAAACCAAACCAAATAACAACACTCGCGTTTTGACACCTTGGACTCCGTCAAAAAATAAAAAAAAAAAAAATCAATTCGCGTCAACAAAAAAACACGTGTAACACCAAGTGCCAATAATAAATAATTAACATGTACACGTCGATCAAATCATCTTTTTTTCTTTTTAAAAAATTTAATAATAAAAAAATGCCACGTCACTCTAGTTGTTAAAAAAGAATGATGGTGATTATTGCCACTTGTTGTCACTCTAGTTATTTAAAAAGAATGATGGTGGACAAAGAAGATAATAAGAAAATTGTGCTAGGTACATCAAAAATCCATTACATAGACCCACGTATTTCTTTTGCGTGGTCTAAAAAGTATGAAGTACCAATCACCAAAATTTTTAATAAAAATCTCCGTAAAAAATTTGGATGGGCATTAGACGTCAATGCAGATTGGGTGAGTATTTTTTTTTTTTAATTAATTTTATTAAATAATAACATACTTAAATTTATTTTTATTATTTTATAGGAGTTTCAGCTGTCATGCAGTTATTTTTCATTTGGCTGTTTTTTTTTGTTTTTTGCTATTTAAAGATTATGAAATTTGTACATTGTGTTTGATGGAAGGTTATATATATTTTTTGTGCTGAAAGGTTTTTATTATATTAATTTTAGATTATAACCATGAAAACTACAAATTTATATATAATTTTATATTATAATAAATTTATCTTTTAAAGAAATTTCAGGTGACTAAATTATAGTGACTAGTTATGAATTAAAATTTATTGTGAACCAAAGAAAAAATCATATCTGAATTCAAGGGTTGAAGTTTTATTTATAATTTTGTTTTGCAAATAAGATTGTAATTGTTCAAAATAAAACCGGATCAAACATCTTTATTTTTACTACAAAAACTACCATTTAATCATTTCAAATTTCTTTAATATTAAAAAAAAAAGGTCTTTGAGCTAAAAAGAAAGAGAACAAGACAAGAGTAAGTATTTTTTTTAAAAAAATGGTGGTTGTGCGCATTTTCGTCATTCTAGTTAATCGAAGTAAGTTTTAAAGATAAGATCTATGAACAAAATATTCTAACAAATGTTTTATTAATTATTCAATAGTTATATAAATTTATCTTTAATAACATCACTATAATCATTATTTATTGTCCCAATCCCCCAAGCCCCCAGTGAAAATTAGTCAGTCGGAATTAAAAGCCGCTTACCAAAAACTAGCCAAAAGTAAAAATTACGAAAGGGAAATGTGATAACACTATTATTATATACATAACAGTAATATATAAAAAAAATTATTTTATTTTATTTATATTAAATATTTAATATAAATTGTTCTTTTCTTCTATGACATCCTTTAGCAAACAAAAAAAATAAAATAAACAAGCTACAGTTCACTCTCTCTATAACGAACACTAAGTAAAATCTCTATAATGAACCTCCCTTTTGTCCCTGATTTATTTTTTTTATAATTAATTTCTCTCTCTATAACAAACATCTTAGTATTTATAATGAAAAAGGGCACATATAGGGACGGAAGGTCCATTAAAATATTTTCTCATGTTCCTTATTTATAAATAAATTATGATGTTAATTAATTATATTAATTATTTCACAAAATACCAAGTAAAATTACAGGAAGCTCCCACGTTTTGTTTAAAGTAAAAGAAAATTTGATATAACTTCCACGAAGAATCGTATATATATATAACAAATAGTATATGTAGAGTAGGCGGAGATATATTGCTATCTTGTTATTGACTTCTATTACCATCCCTCAACTCATCTATATAGTTGTTTTCAAATCCAAATTACATGGGTAAAACTAATATCACTTACACATACCTTGATTAAAAACAGGCAATTTTCTTTGGTATTTAATAATATGGTCATTATTCACTTAATTTATTATTTTTTATTAATATATTGTAGAAAATTTTATGTTTTATTAACAAAATGTCCCTAACTTTATCTAACAATTACCATATATATGATTGTATATATGCTGAAAAATGGATTTTGTGTTAATTTTGAAGCAAGTGATTTAAAAGGGGTTCGGGAATTATTTATCCTCGCCGATCATTATATAAAATCACATGACTATAATGATTTCGTTTACGAGACTGATGATTCTGGTGATGAATGGTTTTAATGAAAGCAAAATGATTGGTATTTTGCTTTTCGTAATCATTAATAATAACGTTAATATTAAATATATAATTACAAGAAGATGTCAAGGCAGCATACCGTTTAAAAAGAAACATTTCGGTATGCGATGTTTGATTATTGGAAATTTTATAGATGTTGAAGCACGCACGCTACCTTGATTAAAAACAGGCAATTTTCTTTGGTATTTAATAATATGGTCATTATTCACTTAATTTATTATTTTTTATTAATATATTGTAGAAAATTTTATGTTTTATTAACAAAATGTCCCTAACTTTATCTAACAATTACCATATATATGATTGTATATATGCTGAAAAATGGATTTTGTGTTAATTTTGAAGCAAGTGATTTAAAAGAGGTTCGGGAATTATTTATCCTCGCCGATCATTATATAAAATCACATGACTATAATGATTTCGTTTACGAGACTGATGATTCTGGTGATGAATGGTTTTAATGAAAGCATGTTCGGATTATTCGTTTTATTCGTTTTATATATTTGTTTTATTCATTTATTTGAGTAAAATTTAAGATTGAGTCATGTGATGTTATAAACCCATGACACAAAAGAGTATCATTACTATTTTGAGATTTGAAGATTTGGGCAGTGCGGCACAGCATTTGATATCTTTTAGATGTCGCGCACTATATTAACAAAAAAAAAGAAAATAAATAATACAAATAAATCAATATATGTTAGAAGATATTCTACGAAAAAAATTAAATTTACTTAGTCTCAATTTCTCAAGTGTATAACAAAGTTTGGAATTTTCAAAATGCTAAGGCTCTGCCAATTTTTAGTTTAAAAAAAAGCTAGCCGATAAGTTTTGAAGCTTGAGTCACGAATAATAAAACTTATCGTTTAACTTTTTTAAAATGTTATAAAATTTTTTTGTTTTATATAGTACTTTGAAGCTGACCGATTGTTATTATTTATAAGCGATTGATTTGATATAGATGATCTGCACCGTAGTGAAAAAAGCGCGATTTATTAAATTCCTGTTATGGATGTTTTGACCTAACTTTATTTTCTACATAACCGAAAAAATATACAACAAAAGAGTTTTTTAAAGGTGACTGACTATCTTATTGTTTGCTTTCTTAAAAAAGCAAGTTAATACATTAATGTCTATAAAATTTTAGGTGAGATCGCACATATATATATATAAATTTAAAAAAATGTTCAAAAATTTAGAAAGCCAGCAAAAAAAGAAACAGGTCCATATATAACATCCAATAAATCTTTACGCGAGAAAATATATACTAATTAACTTAATTAATGTTATATATAGGTTCAACCACGTAATAAAAACTTAGCCTCACAATGTAATGAAAATCTAGCAACTACGACACAAAAAATAGTTTCTACTAAAGATCTTGGTCTTGCAACAGCAACGCAAGCTATCAACCCAGTCAATCCTAAAATCGATCTAAATATAACCACTTCATCTATTAATAATATTACTAATAATCCTTCAATATCATCAACATCAACATCATTAAATGTTACTAATAACTTTTTAAAAAAAATCAATTCTGCAATTTCTATTTCCACTAACAATAATAATGGTGGTGGTAATAATAATAATTTAATTGGTCGGAGAAGATTAGCTTTAGATGATGTTAGCAATATTAGTAATGTTTCGAATCTATCTTCAAACCTCAACAACATTAGTCATAATAATGTAATCCTACCTATAAAACAATCAATCCTCACAACTACATCAATAAATTCAAGAAAAAGAACAGCAACTGTTACACAATATCAACAATTAAAAAATCAACAAAATGTTAATAATGTGGTTGAGAAGAAGCAAAAAATAGAAGAAATTAATCAAATCACTTCAAAAGCTATTGCAATAAGTAAACATAAACCAATTGGATCAAAGATCTCAGAAAAGAATCAAACAAAAGCAATAGAAACAAGGACTATAGCTGTCACAAAACAAGCAATATCTACAATAACAACTAACACTACAAATAAAAACGAACCCTGTGTGGTTACGGATCCAGTATTAGTTACGACCATAGAATCTGAAATCTATGAAGCTGAATTAGAAAAAACTCGTGCAAAAAAAATAAGAACTCAAGAATGGGATGATCTCGATCTTGAGGATATGAGTGATCCCATGATGGTGGCAGAGTATGCAGTGGAAATTTTTGATTATTTGAAACTTTTAGAAGTATGATTTATCTATATTTCTTTTAGAGAATAATACATTTGATCACATAATTAATTATAGGATAATTTCTCTTCGCTCCATGTATTAATTAATAGAGGGAAACAATGCCAAAACCTAATTATATGGAACTTCAAACGGAATTAAATTGGAAGATGAGAACGATCCTCATTGACTGGCTTGTTGAAGTTCATTACAGATTTTGTTTATTACCTGAAACTTTATTCTTAACAGTCAACATAGTTGATAGGTTTTTGTCTGAAAGTTTGGCTTCTATGGTCAAATTGCAACTTGTAGGTATCGCTGCACTTTTTATTTCAGCCAAATATGAAGAAGGGTTGGCCCCATCCATCAAAAATTATATATATATGTCAGAAGAAGGTTACACGGAAGATGAAATTCTCAAGGCAGAACGATATGTATTACAGACTATTAATTACAAGTTGAATTATCCCAATCCAATGAATTTCCTTAGACGAATCTCAAGAGCTGACCAATACCATATTCCAGCTCGGACCGTTGCCAAGTACCTAATGGAAATCACGCTCCTTGATCATGCCTTCTTAACTTGCACTCCCTCCATGGTTGCAGCAGCTTCATTACACCTGGCTCATATAATGCTTAAACGTGGTGAATGGGTTAGTGTTTGGTCAAAGTCGTGGTTTGTGGGGTATCACTATATAATAGTTATTATTAATATTAATGTTTAATTACATTTAATTAATCATTCTTTCATTATTTAAAAATATTGCTATACCCATGTATATATAGACTGCGAATTTGATTCATTATTCTACATTTACAGAAGAGCAAATCAAACCTTGGTCAAAAATGATTTTACAATACTTGAGAAGAAACAATAAATGTGTCGATCAACTCTATTCTAAATACTCGACTAAAAATTTTATGAAGGCTAGTTTTTTTGTCAGAGACTGGGTGACGAGACATGATAGACAACTACAGCTGCAACAACAACAACAACAGCGATCTTCATCTTCAAAGTCATAATTGGTTAAATTTTTTTAGCAATTTTGTTATAAAGAAGGGAATTTGATGTTTAGTTTTATATTATCTAAATTTTGTTTGAAAGTATTAAAAAGAACAAGAATTCAAGAATTAATTGAATAATTTGCTTTGTGGTGATTGATATATATCAATAACAAAAACTTTCCTTGTTATTATTATTACGAAGATACGAGAATGTCAGTTTAATGTTTGCATAATATTGAGAATTTTAAAATTTATCCTTTACCATCGGCATATCTACATTTCATTATTATTTTGTCTTTAATGATACTTGTTGTGCGTGAAATTCAAATTAGCCAATCAGAATTGTGTATTCAAACACCCACCCCAAAATTTAATTTTCACGCACAAAAGGAAAATGTTTCATTAAAAATTCGCATTCCATGTGGTTTATTATAGCAATTATATATATTTGAGGTAATTTATTAGCTCTCAAATAAAGTAGTAGTAATTAATATTTAAATAGACTGTGACAAAGAGGGTTGAGGATCAATTGTCACAAAGGTTTTTCTTTTGATTTGGTCACGAGCACTTGAACGAGTCATACCAAAAAATTTGCTGCCGTTTATGTGGAGTTGAAGAAATGTTTCTTGAGCCGAATTAAGCATTTCTTTTTTTTTTGCAGTATCCTGAAGTATATTGTGTGTAATATTTTTTCTGCAAATATTATGCGTTGGGATATTGTTTATCAGTCAAATCTCTTTCAAATTAGACAGTATCAGTATGCATAATACTTATTTTTCTAACTGTTTAGCGAAAATTTGTTACGCAGGAAATATGTCGTTTCTTATATTTACTTGCTAGCAAGTGCCTTCAAAAATTTCAAGAATGGGTTTAAATGTCCTTTATATATGTTTTCTTCAGATATCTACTCGGGTATCTATCTATCTACTTAGATCTCAAGATTTGAAAAATCGGTTCCTAAAATTCATTTTGCATGGTCTTAGTATTTATTTTATCACTTTGGTTATGTAATTTATTATTTAATAAATATATACCGAATAATAGTATCAACTGCTTAGATTGTAAACACCCACCCCAAAATTTAATTTTCACGCACAAAAGGAAAATGTTTCATTAAAAATTCGCATTCCATGTGGTTTATTATAGCAATTATATATATTTGAGGTAATTTATTAGCTCTCAAATAAAGTAGTAGTAATTAATATTTAAATAGACTGTGACAAAGAGGGTTGAGGATCAATTGTCACAAAGGTTTTTCTTTTGATTTGGTCACGAGCACTTGAACGAGTCATACCAAAAAATTTGCTGCCGTTTATGTGGAGTTGAAGAAATGTTTCTTGAGCCGAATTAAGCATTTCTTTTTTTTTTGCAGTATCCTGAAGTATATTGTGTGTAATATTTTTTCTGCAAATATTATGCGTTGGGATATTGTTTATCAGTCAAATCTCTTTCAAATTAGACAGTATCAGTATGCATAATACTTATTTTTCTAACTGTTTAGCGAAAATTTGTTACGCAGGAAATATGTCGTTTCTTATATTTACTTGCTAGCAAGTGCCTTCAAAAATTTCAAGAATGGGTTTAAATGTCCTTTATATATGTTTTCTTCAGATATCTACTCGGGTATCTATCTATCTACTTAGATCTCAAGATTTGAAAAATCGGTTCCTAAAATTCATTTTGCATGGTCTTAGTATTTATTTTATCACTTTGGTTATGTAATTTATTATTTAATAAATATATACCGAATAATAGTATCAACTGCTTAGATTGTACGTAAAGAAAGAATTTTGCCCAAAGGTTTAGTCGTAAATGGGACAGAAAGACCTTTAATCTGTGGCTTCTTAATATTCAAATAAGGGATTGATTATAAATAATTACAGTTTTTCAAATACTGTTTAAAATAAGTTAAATTTGATAATACAAAATTAATCCATCCATATACAGTTCATTTTCTTTATGTATGTATACCGGATCTTTTAAATGGATCTTGCTCTATAACGAACGAGTTTAAGCCCAATTTACATGTCTCATATATATATATATTATAAACCAAATGGTCCGTTATATGGAGAGTGGACTCTGGAGTTCTATTCGCAAAAATTGATTCGTTTGATTCGTCTGATACAATCCGAATACTCAAATTAATAAATCAATTACAAAGTAGATTTGTTTAATGCTTTGTAAAATCCCTAGATTATTCACTAATAAATCTCATAGAGTCATGCACGATCTAGGACACCATCAACTGTGGTTCCACGATAGAAACTTATTGATAACACGTTAAAAGTTCAAAAAAGCGTTCGTGATGTGAACTGTAGTATTATGAAGCCGATCTTAATAACCTCAGATAAAAGTGGTTTTCTCTTATCGAAGCAATTCATAAATGAATTTAAAAACTTTATATAACAGGCTTTATATATTCAAGTTTTTTTTTTTGAGGATACATTTTGTTGATTGGTGCATAACTGCAGAGATAGTTGACTTTGATATCCAAAAACGAAAATTTTTTAACGTTATCAAAACTGCTCTATTGATGTCACAAGCACTCATTATTATATATGAATTTATATTCATCCATTTTTTCATGTAGAGTTTGCTAGAGTCAACTATTAATAACGTGGAATATTCTAATACTAATAATTTATTAGTATCCGTGTCATACACCGGATTTTTTTGTATTAGTATGACGTGTAACAAGTCTATTGTTATAAACTAGTCAAATATTGTATTATTCAACCACAGAAATAAATTAATTAAAAAATATGCTTTTTTAAATGAGAAATAATTAATGGACTGAAAAATCATTATCTTCTCAATCATGATATGTTTAGGAGTAAATGTTTGACGATGATGAGTTAAGCCAGATAAAATCTAAACAGCAAAGTCAAGGCCAAAGCCAAAGAATAATCTGTGCATGTTTTTATTATTTTTGGATTTGTGAACAATAACAATAATAAATAATAATAATAATAATAAAATCGTTAATTGGGGCATACTACAACAAAACCAGACAAAGTGACCATTTGTATTACCAAGAATTTAGGGACAAAATTTAGTAACGTGATTATAATCTCCCATCTATTATCTTTTTTTTTCTTAAGTGGTATATAAAATTACTTCTATATAAAAATAATTAATTTGAAACTCACTTACATCAATCTACTATGGAACCTAAGAATTATAGTATAATCAGAAGTATTTTGAAGAAAGAACAAAGTGAAAAGATTCAAAATAAATGATGCTCAGATGCTTGAAAATTATCTAAAGGAAAGAGAAAATCACCTATGAAATTTACCAAGAAAAATCATAACCAATAAAAGAACCCAAAGCCTAGAAAGAAATGAAAGTTGGAAGAAACACGACTTATTATATAACTTAATTTTTTAATTATCAGTATGGGAGAGTATCATGAGATTGTAAATTGAGCACCAATTAATTGTCCTGGAATTCAAAATTTGATTGGTTAATAATTTTACACGCGCCCTTTGCGCCCTCTCAATTTTACA